ATGATTCGTTTTACAAGGCATCTGCTCTTATTTATACAGCGATAATTTGTCGTAGAAGGCGGAAACAGGGACTAAAGTCGTAACAGGCATCTGAAGAGTGCCCCCTTCGACGTAAAGGATGAAGTACATGAAGTAAGAAAAGGAATGCTTATTCCTGTCTGATCGTCAAGCGCAGAATTCCAAATGATTTCTCGCTCCCCTCTCTACAAGGCATATTTTAAACAGCATGTATGTATACGGGATTCGCCTTACAATGTCACCGTAATGCTTTGTTTATACGACTACTTAATGTCTGGTATTTACTTTGGTACTTGTCCTTCACTTGTGCGCATGAGCTAGACATCGGGCCAAGCCAAACCATAATTTTCTCCTTCTCCTCCCAAAACGCATGCGTCGGATATAACCTCGTCCACCGAGTGACAAGTCTCAGGCCGCTACACTGGCGACAGCGGGAAGCCATCACAACTCTTTACCCACCTCCACTCCACTGGTCGCCCATCGGGACACACCCTCCACACGAAGGATACGAGCATATTCTGCGGGTGGCAGATGCTTTGCAGTCTTCACAATAGGAGTCTTGCGAATGATGTTCGTGTTTGGCTCCTCCCATTCCGGCATCCCACAGGCAAACTAGTGACGCCTGAAGTAACATCGCCGTAAACTATTGCGTATTGCATTTTCCTTTTGCTACATCAACATGTAGATGTCGGAGATGACACTATGGCAAACGTCTTTCCATGTGGGAGTGTGATTGATGCCAATTTCCCTACTAAACATCTGTATTCGACTGGTGTACCAATGTCTAGTCCTGGCACGATCGATGTTCGGCAGAAATACCTCTCTGCGACCTTTGGTCTTAGAGTAAATGCAAGTCCGGATCCAGTTGAGGCAGCTGATGAGGCCAAGTACAGTGATTTTGTCTCATGGGACTGATGGCTGTCATGGGAGGTGCTCAAAAGGAGAGAGGCGCAATGTGATGCTTTGTTTGTTTTGTTATCTCTATGATCAGCCGTTACTTTAGTAATTGTCTAAGCTCTCAGTGCATGAACCGGCCAATGGTGCAAGCCAAAGCTCACTCCATTCTCCTTCTCCTGAAATAGGCGCAGTTAACCCAACTTACTATTTTTTCTACCTAGTGAAAAATCTTATGTAGCTGAAGACTCCAGCGCATAAAGCAGCACACTTGACATAATTCTTGTTATTATTCGGGGACGATTCTGGTTAGGCTTTGGCATAGCACCTCGGTCGTCCGCCTGAATTTGACGATGTTGCTGTTTAAATAAACTGAAACAGAATTGGTAAGATAGGTAGCACTGCCCAATCAAATACCTCACCGAATGTAGGCAGAAGTTCTAGTACCCTCTGGGTTCGTTTATAAATCGATATACTATTGCACGATATATCTTCGGAATAAAGTTAATTACTGTAGGGCACAGAGAAGTGGAAGACATATATATTAAGAGAAGGAGAGATAAAGCCCTAGCATCTCCCAAATGTCAGCCTAAGCGTACAAGGAACAGACGTGTATAAAATACTGTACTACATGCAGCTTCGCCTTCACCATCGACCAAGTCCACTAAAAGTGCTGCCTTTGAAGGAAGCTTGCTTTAAAGCAAAGAGCGAGACTTAAGCAGCGTTGTATGTTTGTTTCAGTGCTATGCTCGCTTTTTAGTCCTCCGTCGCATTACATTACCACTTTATAACTCTCAATACTCAAAGACAGATATGTGGTCCCAACCTGTGTTAATATGCATCATTGAGCTTAACTAAAATGTCAATCTGCGTAAAGCATTCACACTTTCATGGAAACAATGTTGGCAGAAAAATATGAGCAAAACTGTTGAATAAAACAATTATATAACGAAAGGACGGAATGACCATTCCGCACAACCCTATTTCTGATTGGTTATCGTTATTGTTATTTTAGCCCAAAATGAGGGGGTCTAGAAAGAGTATGTTTTCTTGTCTTCACATTTATCTTATTTGATGTTCATTCACTGTGCTTGTGTGGGTCATGTTTGGGCACCTTTTACCCACAACTCTACTTTGCCGGTTCTGACGTTTCTCACCATCCGCAGCCAGCCTTACCTTTAGTGATTTTTTTCGTTCGTTATTTTCATGTCTTTTTTCCCTGGCGTTAGCTATTTTTGTGTGTGGTTTTTTATGTTTGCATTTTAAAGTCTACTTGATGCATACAAAAATTGGAATTTTCACGATTCTAGATCAGCCACCCTCCGGCGGATTCTTCTCACTTATTAGTTCCAAACAAAAAAGACCAACTGATGCTCAGCGGATCGGACCAGCCCTCAAAAAGCCCCGTCTTGAATCACAGGATGGTTGGTTTACTTAATTTCGGCTTAAAAACGTGGCGTTAAGCAGGCATAATTAGTTTTCTCGCCTTTTCAGTGGCGTCTGCGGAGCTAGTGAGCCGCGTGGAAACCTTGATGGCTAGTGGTAACTTAGCCGAGGCAGAGGCTCTCGTAGTTTCTGTACTAAATCACATATATGCCAACGCTACCTCTACCGCCTCTTTGGCCTCATTTGGGAGTCTTGCTCTCACGCGATCTGCAGGTCTTGCCTCCTCTCGTCTATCCCCCACCTACACCATAGGTCTATTGGTCATCGCAAAACATGCTGGCGGACCCAGCCTCTTCGCTCGACCAGCGGTGTTGGAGCTGCTGTACTCTCTTCTCGCCCTCTCGCCCCGAGACCTTGGCATGCCTCGGCTGCCTACCTCGGCGATGGCAAACTTCGCTGCAAGGTCGCGGGGACTTTATGTAAGTCTAGCCCTAGTTGCTTTACGCTCTTATGCTGTTTTGTGGCTGTTAAAGTTTTATTTTGCATGTTTTTAGGCGTTTGTGGCGAATTTGTTGTTGATTGCCCTTGGCAATCAGTCAAAGTGGCCTCCAAAGTTGATTAAGGTGCGTTGTTTCTCATTTAGCTTATTATTTTCTCTGAATTGCGCGTGCTTAAGTATGTTGGCCTGGTTATTACAATTCCTTTATGCAAATCTTTTGAGCATTCTATCTTCTTCGAGAAGATCACGTTGATATTAGTAGAATGCGTACAAAACAGCATTGCGTGTCGGCAACATTACGTGGTTTACCTTTTCATTTTTGTTCTTGTCTGATGATCGTCATTCATATTGGAGAGATGGTAACTTGAATTTTAATGGGAAGTTGTATAACATCCCTCACCTCATCTCTCAATGTTGCTGTGATTTCTCAAGCAAGTCCTTATTTAAGCAATGAGATGGAATGTTTGTCTATTAATTTAATCGACATTTGGTCAAACAGAATATGTGGAAAGTTTTGACTTCGTGCACTATATTACTTACTTTACTTTACTTTAGTACTGCAGACGCGTAGCTTCATTTCCAAATGCCTTATCTGTTATTTGCGCTCATTTGTTCATTCCGCTGCCGGCGATGGCCGCAAGATGCCTCCTGGTACACTTTGTTTTTATTTTGAGGTTCCTGTTGTGTTTCAAGAAATGCTGGTGTGGTGGAAGACCTCACATACAATGTTGACTCCTCTTTAAAGCACCTCCCTTTATGTTGGAATATTGCTCCGTTATTTTGTCTCGAAGCAGTTCGATAAAATAACTATCGATATTGGCGATGTTAAATGATCTTATATACATCCATAGCAGCCTTTCAATGGTAGGACACGCCTAAGCCAAAAAGCTGTTTATTTTGGTCGTAGCGAATATCTCTGCCCAATTTGCAGCCTTTGGGTCCCTTACCTGTACTATTCTGTCAGCAACTGTTGAGAATTGTCCTTGACTACCCGTAATTGAAGTGATGCATACCCATCCTAAAGAAATCGTTGTTGCTAATTCAATAGAACTATTCAGATCTCCTGGCTATTTGCTTAGAATAAATGACGTATTCTTTGGAGCTTCAACTGGACAGAACAGCTGTTTATTGGCAAAGTATAGACTCACATTTCTTATTCAAGTGATGTCTCTCGGAGGGTGGAGCAAGTTGCATACCTTTGCCGATCATCAGCTATTTTCCCTTTATTAACGCGATGACATTAATCAATGCCCGTTTTTGCTGAGTTCTAACTACGCATTTTTCCTGCACGGCCGCTTCAAATGCATTTTTACGACTGTGGGAGATTCGTTTAGTGAGGTCCTCTGTATACGAATTCCTTCACTTCGGCCACCCTTATTGTCTTGACTTTCATTCTTTGAGTTGTTACTCAAATTTCATAGCTGCATTGAATAGACTTCAGTCTGTCTATTTAATGTTATTAAAATCTAACAAGTAGGTTGGTTTTTCGAAATAAAAAAACATCAGGGTAATCATTATCATTTTTGGCAGGATGGTTTTCAGGCCTTGTTTTAGGGCAAAGCATCTTTTACATCCACATTTACAACCCGTAAAGTAGACACTGATTTGAAATAATATTTGAAATTACCCTTGTTTTCGTTAATGAGTTAAACTACTATGGGCGTAGCCAAGGTAAGAAGTATACAACTCAAAACGACGCAGTATATGAATTGTTGGTTGCCTTTTACTCAGATCTATTTGGAGGATAGCCTTTCCGACCGCATTTGGGTGGACCTCGACGAGTGTAAAGCTTTCGTACTCAACCTCGAGACTGCTCTGCCTTCGGTGACAGGCGACCCGCGGGGCCTCTTCACTCTCCTCTGCGCCAGTGGGCCTCCTGTACCAGGAGTGCAGGCAGCTTTGGGCCTTAATCTGCCATCAGCTAACACCACTGCAGCTCCGACTCTGTCTCCTGTCACATCTCTTGATTTAGCCGATGCGGTGGCTGCGGGATTACACGCCACGCGAACCTCGCAGTCTGCAAAGGTACATTCCTTGGAATTTCTTATTTGAAGTCCATCCATGCCATTTTTCTTTGTCAAATTTTACGAGATATTTGACAACTTACACCAAGATGGATCGAAATTTTTAAGTAGTTTGCTATTGCTAACATTATTTTGATATTTATACTGTCTTTAAAATCATTAAACGCATCAATCTACAAGTAGAAGAGAGAGTAGTCGCTTACGATTAATTGGCTCTGAGAGGCTCTAGAAGCAAGACCGCAGATCAAGGTTCGTCATAGCACAGATGGTCACCTATGTTCTCTTGTCAGGTAATTCATGGTGGCGATTTAGCACGCCTAGTCTCGCCGCGCTTTGAGTCAAGTCGGAGTGCAGTGGAGAGCCTCATTACCACCACCCTCCGAGAGGCTCTCTCGCGTCGCAGCTCAAGCTCTGCTGGCTTGGGCCATTCTCTAGCCTCCTCTACCGACCCTTCTGGACCCAGTGGCGAGGTGGTGCACACTCGCTGCCTCATTCGAACTCTTGCTATGGCTGCTGGTATCCCGGAAATCCGCTCGCTTGCGGCTCAGCGACTTGAACCATGGCTTACAGTGAGTGTAAAGGAGGGCATCTTTTTGCCCTCTTTGTTGTCAACTTCATATTGACACACTGGCCTTGTTTGGCCTTTCACCCCACAAACGTACGGTATGCGTTGGCCATATCAGACTATACCAAATGGGTCGACGACAAGTTGGCTAGGCGTAGATAAGGAAGTTATGAAGTACTTTATTTGAACATTTTTTTGCTTTAATTGGGTGTAGTGACTCATTTTCATCCGAGGCTTCACTAGTGAATGTGCTATTTAGTGTGTAAAAAGATGAACGCAAATAGTTGATATGATCTTCTCAGACAAGAATTTGTAAATTTTAGTTTGGAGAGTCAAAACACTTCTCCAACCATTCTTTTTTAAAAATTGGGGCTTTTAGTGGGTTTTCTCACAGTTACAAGATTATTAATAAAAGCCTATGATAGAAATTTGCTGCAAAATGAATTGATTGATTGCGTTGGACAATTCACGGTTGTTGTTTCGTTTTAGTACCTTTCCTACTCTGTCTCCTTCCTCTGCGTGCAGTGCTTTTACGACAACTAAAGCCTGTATTTTTTCGGGCATCTACTCATGTTTCTCCTGATGCTAGCTTATGCAGCCAATGTCGTTCGAATAGTAAATGTGTTGTGCGTTGCTCCAGCTAGTGTGCACGGTGACATATTCGCCTCGGAGCTGGCATTAATTAAGCACCTAGCGATCTGACAATTTGCAGTGAAAGTTTGTTTTGAATGTTTCCCCTTCGCCCGCAAAGGACAGATCATAAGTTGAGAGAAGTGGGCTTCTTTTCCCCTTGGCTCTAGTGACGGTTCACTCTCCTGTATGGTGTCCAATTTATCTGCTGCCAATGTATATTCCTTTTAGAACCCTAAACTTCAAGTCTTAGCTGTTGGTCTGTTGGCTATAGTGGTGAGCAATTGTAAGCAGGGCTCGGCTTCGTCATCCGACATCGACACCATAGTCACTGTCGTCTTTCGCATTCGACAGAAGCTGCTTAAAGCCAACATTCAGGTAATTCTTTCTCTACTGGTGCCACTTCAGTAAACACATCCTTAACACCCTTCTACCTCCTATTCAGGCCGCTGTGCTTGAGAACATTTGCCGGCTGGCCGCTGTGGGCACTGCCAACCTAGCAATCCTAGTCAAATTATGCATGGCCAGTGAGTTACCAACAATCGCAGCAATTTGTGAGGCAAGTGAACAGGCCGCTAAACAAGCAGCAAAACAGCAGCAGTCCCAATTACCCAGCTTGACGTCGCATGCCTCAAGTACTCTTGCGTCCATTAATTCACCGTCAGCAAAGTGTTTGGTTGAGACTATTCGAAGGCTGTGCTCTCAGTCAGGCAAGTATGAGGAACGGTAGAATTTTTTCTTCCTAAAAATTTGACAGTCGTGAGCAGCACAAATGACTGAAGGTCGGGGCTCACATGGGGTAGGGATTTCAACGTGCGTAAATTGATCGCAACAACACAACTTTTCTCTGGCAAATTGTATGTCATTGTGGTTTGTCAAGGTCAACAAAATTTATGAAATCCAGTCTAGATTAGTGTCTTTAAAGAACCACTCCTGCGTTCGCAGCGTTTCGAATTTAACACTGAGAATTTACATGCTCGCTCCATGCAAGTATTGACGTTGGGCATGTGCAGCCACGCTAATAGAGGACGAAAGGAGAATCCTGTACCCGAATACTGCGGTTTCGAGAATAGTTGTGAAAAATTTCGACCTCTATTTGTCTGATGATGTATCGGTTTCGTGTTTTGACACGGGGGCCAGTAGTTTGAACCCATTTTCATCACTCACATTCATTATTTAGGAAATGGTTATGGTTCTACCAAAAGGAACGATTTAGCACTTAGAATTGTGGTTTTAAATGTGATGAATGGGCGGAGGATGTCAGCTATGTGTAGAATACTGTCGTTATCATCGCTCAGAGTAGTAGCTTGGGGCAAGATGAGAAGGTACTCTAAACTGACGAATCAGCCAATCCTATTTGACTATGATAAGTAATGAATGTTCAACTGAAAAAAAGTGGTGAGTTCGTTGAAGTAAACTATTTTGCGATTTCTTAAACTACCTCGCTTGTTTTAGTATGGAAGTTTGATCACTGATCGTGATGTTAAGAGACCCACGATTAGGAAATGTGCACTTTCCGTTGTCTTAACAGAAAGTAATGAAACGTCATCCTTCTCCGACTCCACAATATCGAGTATCAACGCGGTTGCAGTCAACGCGTCCGAGGCTGTCTCTAAGGGCCACATCTCCGTTTCCTTTATCCTCCCAAAACTTTACCAGAGGTTTCCTATTGAATGGACTAAGGTCGGAGAGATACTATAAATGCTTCCATACCACATCCGCTTGAGCTTATATCTACTTGTGTGGATTGTAGGTAGTAGCGGAGGTCCTCCATGACCGAATAGTTGAAGCCATTACCAACCCTAACTCTACATCTCCCCATTTCGGCAGCCTTCCTGCCCATCCCACGGACACACAACTGGTCACTAACACTCTTCGCCTCCTCGCTCCCACGCGGCAGCTGCTCCGTGACCTAGCCAAATGGATGCGGGGGGCCTTTGCAGCGGCGACAACACCCGCGGCATCTGTCAGCGGTGGAGTCGGAGGCGGAGGTGGGGAATTTCTTCCATGTGCAGAACTGGGCTGTGGCATTCTTCTTCTTGATCGCTCCGTCCACCCAGCCTTTGCAGAATCAGCGGTGAAGGTGGCGCAGTGCCTTTGGCAAGGTTGTGGTGGGCAGAGTTTTGGTCCCTTTACGGTCCTGCGATATATTTACGCCGTAGTTCATGTCGTCTGTCAGCTGCAGATGCTCTCGGCTACTCGCCCTAACCTCTGTGATGCGCCGACCGTTAGAAAGAAGGGTGAGGAAACAGTAGTTGGGATAATCAAAACTGTTAGAGCTATCCTTGGAGTCATTATATGTTGCTGTTTTCGAAGCGAGTTTGCTGTGGTTATGTAGGTTTGAGGTCTGCATAAAATTGAAACATCGTCACATTTGAGGCATTTCTTTTTCCGTTCTGACAGCTGTGGGTGCTCCAGACCCACTAAAACAGCACCAAGCGTGCGTACGACAGTTGCGTCTTCATTTCCTTCGATGGTTTAAGTCCTTTGTACCGAATCTCATCTCCGCGGCAGCGGTGCACTTTCCTGCCATGGCACCACGTGATGCCTTTGCGCAAATATCGCTTCTTCTGCGTCGTGCCTTCTTCCTCGAGGTGACAGCACCTTTCGATATTCCTGCCTCCAATACGGCTTCCTCGTTCTCACCATTTTACGCTGCAGAAGAGCTTTGGCCTACGGAACAGAACCAGAGGTGAGTAGTGGCTGCAAACGTCATAAGTGACTTGTTTTAATCGTTCTGAAGGAGGATAGATATTTACTCATACGGTTTAGGACCGCTTTATTGAAATACTCCAACAATTTCTTACATTTAGCATTATCTATGAGTTTCCTGGTGTCAATCCCTTCAGAATTGGTTTCAGCAGAATTATATGAGACGAGCTGTCTCGAAGTATTTGTTGGTGTTGGCTCTGGAAACAAGATTGTTTTATTAGGCATTGTCCATTCTTAAGTATTAGGTTGACGGTTCTCCTGCCGTTATCACACGTAAATTCGGTCTTTCTAATTGGACATTTTCCGTTTCTGAGATTTCAGATTTATGCTAAGCTACGACTTTGAGGTAATTCGTAGTTGCAGTCATCGTAGTAGTTATTGTTGAGGTTGTTATGATTTATATGTCTGAATGCAGTAAACCTGGGAGACTATTGATGTGTTGGTCGGAGTGGAGGGGACTTAGAGTCGCTATTCAGCCAAAAATATGCTGCCCTAGTGGATATCATTTGTCCACAAAAAAATACAATTCCTATTTTAGGTCCATCGTGTGTCACTTGACCTACGTTAACTTGCCTGAAAAACTGGCCATTCATGTGCTCCGGCATGGTTTGGAGTCACAGTGGGGGCTGGTCAGTCCACCTGATGCAGCGGCCATCGTTTGCGAACTTATCTGGCGCTCGACTGCTCTTTCTATCGACCATGGTAGCGCTCCGTTTCGTCTCATAACGGTCCACTTGATTTAAACCGATTAATTTAATCCTTGAGAGACTTTCAATTGTTTGGCATAGTTTGTTTTTGAGTCGATTAACTTTACTGCAACTTTCCCTCCCTAGGCTTGGAGTCATCAAACTTCAGCAAACTGGAGGAATTGATCGACCTGCTTTACGCTTGCTGCTCATTTTGCGCAGATCGCGAATTGCCAAAGTAAATGTGTTCATTCAACCGTAATCGTTGTTGCTTTTAGCGAGATAACGGAAATGGCCTACAAGGAGCCGTACTGGAAGGTATCCATGGCATTGGTCGCTCTGGCCACTCATTCTCCGAAAGTTTGTGGTGAGTTTTCATTATCTGAATTAATGCATTCCTGTAAGGCTTTTTTTGTGATTACCTGAAGTCGATTTAATTTTTTCCTTTATTGCAGGTGCGCATTTGTGGATAAATTATCCAACTGTTCGGAAATTAATGGAGATGGTCATTACAAAGTAAGCCACCCTGTATAACCTTTTCTCCCACCTTAGTGATTTCACATATCCTCTCATGAATACTTTAAGTGACACGACCTCTGTGGAGTCCGAGCGCCTCGTAAGTCCATATTTGCTAACTATTTCGCAGAGATCTCTTCTTTCGATGCGGTTCTAGTGTTCATCCCTCTACGTTTCTAGAATAAGGAGCTTGAAGACCAGATGATTTTACGGCTGGAGACCTATTTGTCTCGCCCCCCACCTCCAGTTTCAACCGCACAACAGCAAACTTCTTCATCTGACGAGGAAATGAAAAAGGATGACGACGAAGTAAAGCCTGACCCCATAGAGGGCTTAGTACCGCTGATCACATCAGCAGAATCACAACTGATTGGTCAGCTGATCCAAAATAATCCCAGAGGGGCTTGTCGCTGTCCTCCAGACGAAGAGTTGGCAACTTTGAAGCGTCTCTCTGAACAACTTGGTCTACGTCGACGTCTATGCTCTTGCAGGCAGCCGGATCTGCTGTTAGAGTTGATTCTCTCCCAAGGTACCTAACCACAAATTTGATAGCTCCTTGGATTGGTTTTTTCGTTATCACTACCAATGTGACACCTTTTGGCATCACTGAAGTCATAATATAATTTTTTTCGGTCCGCTAAAACACAATTTGAGATCCAGAGGATTTGTGGCGCCCAACTTTTTGCAAAGCTGGAGGGACAATTTAGTTAAGCATTCCTTTACTGCATCATCATTTCACTTGCACTTCCTTTCCCATTTAGGTCCTGATTTGCCGCAGCCCTGGGTCATTCAGTTGGTCGAGTCGATGTGGCAGAGTATTGATGTGCTGCCTCTGCAATGCCTAGCTGAGTACATTCTTCACTCAAGCCTGCAACGCATTCAGGCTGCCGATGAGAAAGGCTTTATGAATGGAGTGATTTTGGAGGTTCCGATATCACCAGCCTCTCGACGTGCTAAACATCAGAGCACTTCCTCGATGGATGCAAACGTTGAAGCTAGTGATTTGGAAAAACTATGCGTTGATGGTAAATCATGGAGAAGAGTTACTGTTGTGAATCATCACTCAACTCAGTTAATTTGGCTGTTGTTAAGTGACAAATTACTGATAAGTAAATCATATTCGAGCTCGATGTGTTTAGTTGGGTCTCGTATACTTAGTAAACATAAACATCTGCTACTCCTCTTGACAACACATTTCACTCCTAGCCTACATCTTTTTATTCAACCAACTCACGGAGATAGTTTGGTTTAACTGTATGGTGTGGTTCTACCTATAAAGCTTCAGGGATTTCGACCTGAATGTGTCACTTTTTGTTTTAGTCCCTTCGACGCCTAGGCGTGCTCGGCTAGACAGCACATCAAGTAGTCTCTTTGCCCCTGAAAAATTGTCTGCTTCTGGCACAGGGGTAGGACAGGGAGAATTGAATCGACGCCGCCTCTACAATCGCATTTTGGAGCGCTTGAGACTGCAAGCTCGAAGCGTACCCACAGACCTCATTGCATCGGTATCAGGCCAACTCGGCTCGGACTGCGCTTCTCATCATCTTGTTGACAACATCACCGAGGCAGTGCTACAGTCCTTCGGTAGTCGGCTTAAAGATCCCTCTTCTTACATCAGACGTGCCGCCCGTTATGTAAGATCCAAACTGATATGCAGAAGGGTTGAGTGGGTGTATAAAACAGCCAGTCACTCTGGCTTCATAGTGGGAACTAGAAACTTTTTTCGACCGACTTCAAAGATCACATTTTTTCACTTCTAGAGTAATATTTCATTGCTCCCTTTCTTCAGTGTCTTACCCTACTGGCAATAGAAGACGTTACAACGGCTAGCGTAGTCCAGCCTACGTCAGGACCGTTAATTCAACCTATGGAGGAGCTGCTCAATGTATTAAATTTGCTTATCAGTCTTCCGGGTCTCTCTGTAGCTATCGATAGACAGCAACAGCAACAGCAGGTCGAGTCTCTCGAAGCTGGTACAACTACTGCTGTCACTACTAGGGGATTGGATTTCATTGGCCTCATTTTGAGCGCCATTCTTGTTGAAGATGACGCTGTTCCTCTCATGGCCTACATCTTATTTCTCGGCCAGCTCACGGAGATCGCCTCTTTTGTGGTAACTTTTTTTATTACTAAATTTGCGTATTTTCCCGTTTACTCTGCTCCTTCATAAACAGTACCTCATTGTCGGTAATAGATAGCCTTTTCGGTTGAGAAAACAGCTCTTCTACTTTATGGTGCACTGTTAAGCGTAGGGCGCACATTTGACTGCAAACTTTGTTGCCACAAGATTTGTGCATCTAATGCCATTCTCAAAATGGGCTTCAAAGCCACAAGGTGTATCAGTATCATGCGGTTTTCATGGTTTCGCCTGATTGTAATGGTTTCTATTGTTTTATTGAACTACTTTGCGATGGAGGCTTTGTTGATGCATAGCGCTTAGAATTGAAGTGACCTTACACCACCACCACCAACATCATCAATATCATCATTGATGAATTCGCATGCTTATGTCAGTCTCTTCTACACCTTTTTTAACGGCTCTTCTCTGGTGTGTCGTCACCGTTTCAAATGAATTCATCAAGTACCTTCTTTCTATATCACTGAGGCCACTGCCTAACTGTCTGCTAGTATTGCCGTATTTCACCCCCTGTTACAGCTGCTGCATCAGACTAAGTTCTGCGGACATTGAGGCGTACGAGTTTAAAATTGTCATTACTATCACAAACCTGCTGAACGATCTGGCAATTTAACCGCATAGCTAGAACTTAGACGCCAGGATATCAAAACGCGCTTGCTTATCTCTGTGTCTGATTAAAATAAGTTTTATTTCGTTCAGTTTCTTTACTGCTGCGTTTCCCTCTCCAGGCATGGCGTCCAACCATAACTTGTCTCAGTCAGCTTCTTTTAAATCGGAAAACACTGGTTCGAAGTATTTTTGAATCGACAGAGGATCTTAGTATTCCTGCGCCAAATCCGCCTCTAGTGGAAGGCTACTCTCAACTAAACATGGAACAACAATCGGAGGGATTTCGGCAGACCGCAGGTTTCATCGTTCTGGAAAATATTTGCCGCATCTTGGCTCTCGATATTGACTACTACTGCACTTCGGCAAGTGTGATTCCCGTCAACGAGAAAAATGTACGAGTTTTCGTCCTTTATACGAGATTTTACTCCATTTTTACCTTTCGGTTAGCTGTCGTTTTTCAACTAGGAGACTGTCTCGATATTGAAGTCCGTAGCATATTCCAAATGTTATTCGCAATTTGTCTTCCATCTTGACATAATCTTGAAACAAACTTCATTATAAATTCAGAGTGTATTCGTTGCCTGGTCGCCGACAAGGCAGTGTCCAATGGAGTTGGGGATAATTGAGTCACACTTAGTCCTTCTGTCTCAAATTCCCCGACGTTTTTTCGCAACCAACGGCTGCAGTAATAGCTCCTGGTGGGACCACCTCCTCAACACATGGTTTATTTACAACGGTGACGGAATGTATGGTCTGCCAAGTATCGTTCCTCTGACCTCCTCTTCTACCGAAGGCATGCATACAAAATGCGGTCTTGTCAGCCTCAGTGCATCCAACAAGTTCTCCTTATCTCCAGAACTTAGATCAGCCTTTCTCTTCAATGGCTTACCGCAACTAATGTCCGCTGGTAAGGCTCACTATTTCCTTAGACTTTCCGCAGCTTCATACATAGACTGTGGCCATCGTCTTTCTCCCCTTCAGCTCTCTCCGATATCACACAGGAAGAACTTCTACAGGTTGTCTGCAATACACCAGCATTGCTGCTTGATGGGAACATGGCTACGTGTCTTATTGACTGTGCCACAAGACTTCAAGTCAAGCCTTCAACACCAAAGCAGTTATCCGCTTTTGAAGCACTCAAAAGTCGAGCTCAGGTTGCTGTCCTATCATGCTATTTATTTGTTCTTTCAAGCATCTCGCCTTCATATGGGTGCTGTTCCAAGCTTTTTCTTTCTTTTTTGTTGCTAAAATCAAGAAAGTGCCAGAAGTAAAGGCCATGCATAACTCTGTGCATCGTGTAGGCTTGTACACCTCCACCAATTAATCCTCTCTAAATCAATCTGTGGTGTTCACTGATTTGGGATTGTTTTGAGCAGGTTGATAGTCTGCATCGGGAGGCAATTTGTATGTCTGTCCTTAATTTTCCACTCCTCCCTCCAAATTTGTCCTCATTTCAATGATGGCAGTCCTTTTTAGCCGTGTTTTTTACTCCGTGAGATTCACGTCTTTTTTTTTAAATGAGTACTCGAGAGTTCCCGCATTAAATGCTCTCATTGCATTTTCTTTCAAAGCTTCTTTAATTTATGATGGTCTTACATAGACACGCAAAAATAGAGCCTTTATTATGAGCAGATGCGAGAGGTTCGAGCATTTGTGGTGCGTGTTATCTCAGTGTTATCTTGATTTTTCATTTATATCAAGTGTACCCATTTCTGTCCATAATGTAATGTCTGACTTTTTCGAACGTACCTGTAATAATAGGCTATCACTCGAATCTGCGAAAAGCGTCGATCTCCCAAGATCAAATGCAAAATTTGGCCAAACTCCTCGATGCATTATGTGGTTTTTTTAGCTCCTTTGCATTTCCTGGTTCAATTGTAGCCGTCAATCGTAACAGAATTCACCGGTCCAATCCTGACCACACACCGAGTCTTCGTCACTCCCAACGTGGTCACACCTCCAGTTCTGACGCCCAAAAAACCCATCCATTCACCGATTCCTCTGGCGGCACCCAAAGCTACATCTTCACCGGTAGCGAAACAACCCGCATTTGTCGTAGCCGAGACAATTGGAGTATCGAGTTCTAAGCAATCAACGTCTGCTGATACACGCGAACCTCCTAGTGGATCCAAGAATCTATGGAGAACGTTCTTTTCAAGGTTAACTGAAGCTGCAAGTGACTTCGTGTCTCAGTCTGAGCTGTTCTGTTACACTCTAGCGCGAGTCAATAGTTCCATCACCGTGAGAAATCGGTGGATGCAGGATCTCGTCAATGTATATCTCTCTTCTGAGTTTCCCCTCAAATTTTAGTTCCTAATCTCGCTTTTTTTTTCATTCACATTATAGGAGTTACAGGCGGTCAACATCTCGTCAAAAAGGGGGCGTGCGGTTTCCACTGTAGCACCACTGGCATATGTTCTCAGGAGTCTTCCAAATTTGGCCGCCGTAGCATACGCTTACTCTCTCATCCGATACACTCTTGCCTCGGGGCTCTCCTCTTCCGATCAAAAAGTATGTCAACCCTCTAATATTAACTTTGGCTGACAGTAAGAAACATCTGTCTACTTCATTTTATTGTCAAAATGTCTTTCTTATTATTTTGAATTCTCATTCCTATTTGTTGACGACACTATCGCTATCCTCACTACGATATGCCTTTACAATTGCATTACAGACAGTCAGTCGTTATCAAAAGTCGGCCGAGTTCTGCATGAGTGAGTTTGAAAAAATCTCATTTCATCCACTTCCACTGAAGCATCTTCTCTTGAACCCTCTTCGGTCACTCATTGAAAAAAAGACAGAAGGACAGAGAACGGGATCACAGGAGGATGTGACGTTTGAAGATCCTCCGCTTGCATCTGATCAACTTGATTTGAGGTACTATTGAATCTGTTTAGTTTTTGTCAACTAGCAATAATTGGGCTGTTCATCGCCAAAATCAAATTACATAGATCAGTTAATTCTACAAAGTACTCCTTGCTTTTTAACACCACCGCTCTGACCTAGTGACGTCGATTTAACTTTACAGCTGATCTTGTTTTGTCAAGGCAACAACTTCGAATCTCATCTATTGGATGCAATTAGCACCAAAAATTATGAAAGTGATAAGTGGGTCACAAATAAACGTATCTTGCCGACGGATCAACACACTTTCTCCATTCTTTATGGTGTGCGCAAATGAACCCTCGAATGCATCGTGTACAGATGTCCGTTAGAAAGATGTATCCGGCAATTGCGCGAACCAGGACGAAAATAATTACTACTTTTATTTCTACCGTCGAAACATTTACGTACATACAGTGGTTGTCTGACATTTTTCAGCTAATCGTATTGGTTTGGTTCCTTCTTTTCATTTCGTGGTTACTCTGTGTTTAGAAGTCGACCACATCAATTCATTAAAAGCATTTTTTACAATGCTGAGGTCTTTGGAAATTCACTGTTTGGCGTCATTCACCTGTGGATGAAGTGTTTATTTAAAGCTTGTGCCTTTAGACCATTGGAGCAACAGATGGAAGCTCTGACCCTCTATGGCGTCTCCTCCACCCTCCTCTCACCTGGTCACTCAATAGACACAGCATGGGGTGTTGTTCAACGGCTTATCTTGGCGCAAACTGACGGTGATGTTGACAGTGAACAGAGGGAGGATGTGGCAAAAAAGCGGCGCTACCTCCTGGAAGAAGTGGTTCACAATACCTCTCCCACCATCCTGCGAGTCTGTCTCCGCAATGTTT